TATTGTTGTACTTTAGTTAATTTAGAAAAACTGAGGAAAAGATTAGATGATTATAATAATTACTTAAGTGATTTTAATGAGACTCTAGATTTTAAGCCGTCAGATCCCATTTCAGAAGAATATTACAACATACTCGTGACTAATATAGTAGAAATATTTGTAGGTACAGATTGTATAGATCAAATGTTACAACGTTTAGGAAAAGTAGATCAGAAAAGACTAACCTTAATTTCCCATAACGGCAGTGGATTTGATAACTGGATCATGATCAAAAACGTAAAAAAAACTAACACAATGCCCTTTAAAAACAGCTAGAGGAATAACTGAATAATCCTAAACATTATGCCATTTTACCGAAACCAATTTTCAAAGAAACTGCTAACATGATTAATAATATTCTTGCCGATTTAGTCAAAACTAGTTATCTCAAACAGAAACAATATGACTATCTGTCTGCCAAACCTGATTGTTGCGAGAGACATTTGTACACTTTGCCTAAAATCCATAAGAATCCAACCAAGGAGTGGTTTATCTCGAATAAAATCCCGAAAGGCCGCCCGATTATATCTGACTGTGGTAGTGAGTCATATGCAGTGTCAGAATACATTGATCATTTCTTACTACCTCTAGCATGCCAACATCGCGCCTACCTTAAAGACACAACCGATTTTGTCAATAAAATAAAAAATCTTCGAGTTCCCTCTAATGCTATTTTAATTTCTATCGACGTTTCTTCTATGTATACCAATATCGATAACACTACTGGTTTAACGGCAGTTCGTAAAGCTTTTAATAGAAACCCAGATCCAAACAGACCCGTCGATGCAATTCTACAGCTTTTAGAGATTTGTCTTAGTCGAAACGATTTCACATTTAATGGTAAAACATATTTACAAACTTCAGGGACAGCAATGGGCAAACGATTCGCCCCTTCGTACGCAAACCTTTTCATGGCAGAGTGGGAACGTGAGGTGTTGCCCCTCTGTCCATTTGACCCACTTTTTTACGGACGCTTTTTGGATGACATTTTTATGGTTTGGACTTATTCAATCGAACAGTTTTGGGAATTCTTTGAAATTCTCAACAACCACCATCCTTCTATCAAACTAACCGCAAACGTGAGTGACAAAAGCATAGACTTTCTCGATACCACAGTCTTTAAGGGAGATTCCATAGCAGAAACAAATAAACTGGATATTACAGTGTATTTCAAAGAAACTGATACTCATCAACTCTTGCACAAGAGCTCCTTTCACCCAAAACATACCTTTTCTGGTATAATTAAGTCACAAGTTTTACGATTTCATCGAATTTGTACAAGATCTTCTGATTTCAACCAAGCCTGTACGATTGTTTTCTCAAAACTGAAAGAGCGTGGGTACTCTAAACGATTATTACGAAACATAAAAAATTCCACCTTAGCACAGATAGCAGCTAAAAACAGACTTTATGCCGAAGTACCTCAAGGTTTAAGAAGTGCTCCATGTTTGTACAGTAGATGCCCTGTCCCTTTATATCAGAAACTCATTATTTTGTAAGCAACTCTACGAATAAAAGGTACCCGATCCAGGAACATCTAACATGTGAACATTCGAATGTAATATATTTAATTTCATGCAAGAAATGCCCCAAACAATATGTAGGAGAAACTAAGAATAATTTACGAACTCGCTTTAATGCTCATAGGTCAGACATCAAATTAAAGAAAGACAAGCCTGTTTCTAATCATTTCAACCTCGACGACCATTCAATAGACGATCTCACCCTAATCCCAATTGAGCGTATAGAAATTGATTTGCCAGAAGATGAAACTACCAAATTCCGTCAATCTAGGGAGGCCCATTGGATTGAGACATTGAATACAGCAAGACCTATAGGACTAAATATTCATCATAATGTAGGCATAGCACCCTTTGTTGTCCCGTTTAATACAACCAGCAATCGAGCAAGCAAGATAGTTCATGCCCACTATAAGAGCCTTCAAGAGAAATTCCCCCATGTCTATAAGCAGAAAATGATAGTTGGATATTCAAAAAATAAGAACTTAAATGATAATATTGTTCATAGTAAACTAAAAACAATCAGTACATAACAGATACTATACTTCTCGCCCATCGGGCGAGTTATTTTTTCTAATTTCAGATCAGAATAAGAACAGAAGAAAACCCAATATCAAGACCCTTAATCCTAATTTCTAAATAAAGTGTCTGCTCCACCCTAGGCCTGTACATTTGGGAGAATCAAACCCTCCCTTCCCCGAAATCTAATTATTTGCAAAATATTAATTTCACATGTTCCTTTCAACATGAAAAATCTAGTTCAGCGGCATGGGGAAATTCATTTAATCTACCAATGAATTTGAGAAAGATCGAGGATGTTAATATTGCAAAATACACTAAAGATAATTGGGAATCTTTAAGACCCGAATGGGAACCTTACGCTTAAAGAGATACGTTATGTCTCGGAGCTTGTTTGATAAAATACAATCAAGCCATGAAAAAAACTGTCTTCCAAAACGTTTCCAATAATCTAACGGCTCCTTCTTTATCTTTAAAGGGTTGGTATTATTTATATCATTACGATAAAGAAATGGTTGAAGAAGAATGGTATGAAACTACTAGAATGGTTCCAAACATACGGAAAAACAAAACGTGGAAAAAGTTTACTCGCATACTCATCCTTTTATAAGATATTTTATCAGACAAAGTATTAAAGGAGGAAGAGTTTTGGCAAATCGAAAATCATTTGAAACGGATAAAATGAATGAGATCTGCGCCATATTAAAAGAATACAATGAAAGTAACACTGAAGGAATAATAGATTTATTCAAAGAATACAGTGTTAACCCAAAAGATAAAACGGAAGTTCACGCTAAACTCAAAGAACTGGACTATTCTAAACTGATGGCATTTGACGCTAATGGGTTGTACGCTTCCGCCATGACAGAAGGTGAATATCCTAAAGCGGAAAGTGCAAGAGCGTTTCTACCAAAAGAAGAAAAAGAATTTGTAAAACTCTTCAATAAACAATAATTCAGACCTAGAACTGCTATTTTAAAAGTCTGGTTTGAATATCCCAAAAACATGTTCTTTCAACCCATACCAGCTAAAGATAAAATAACTTTTACGAATAGAATAGGTCAGAAGGAAACTGGCACTAAAATCAGGTTCAGAAATGGTTTCTGTCTCGACGTCTTAACATCAGTTGATATTCAAGAAATCCGGTGGTAAAATTATTAGAATATTAGATGGTATAGTTTACGAAGAAAATTTTAAAACTCCACCATACAGAGATTATATTTTAATTTTGAAGGAATTAAGGAATAAATACAAAAAAGAAGGAGATGTGGTTGCTAGAAATTGCATGAAATTATTAGGAAATTCCTTATACGGTAAATCTATTCAGAAGGATATAAATACATCGAGACATCTATGGAGTGAAGCGACTTTTAAAGCCAACTTAGATTCACACGTCAAAAGCTATGAAAAAGTAAATGATAGTCAATATATAGTTGAGATGAATGAAGAAGAAAAAGAGTTTGTTCCTCCAAAGAATTTTACTAGATTAACACCCGCTCATTTAGGTGCATTTATATTATCTCACAGTAAAAAAATAATGAACAATTTCATTCACGTAATAGATGGATTTTATAAGCCGGAAATATACTATACAGATACTGATAGTTTATACATTTCGTCTAGTAATTGGGATAAATTAAATGAAGCTGGGTTGGTGTCTGAAAACGAATATAGCAAAGGGAAGAATGATTACGGTGATGGTGGAATCATATTTGGTTTATATTTAGCGCCAAAAGTAAAATACAATATCATTCTAACTTCCGATGGTGTTTTAAAAGAAAAGAAAACGTTTAAGGGTCACTTCTAAAGATAAGATAGACGTCGAAGATTATATTCGATTAGCTAGTGGACATGACGTAACGAATGAATTTAAGAAACCTTGGGTAAAAAGTTTTACTGATGGAATAGTTATTCCTAATGAAAAACAAAAGAAAGTTTTCAGAAGTTATTTGAATCTCGTTAAGAGAAAAGCGCCGAATGAAGAAGGAATTATGTATCCTTACAACGACGGAAAAGAATTAAACATAGATGAAAACTATGAATTTGATGATTTCGATTATCTAACTATTCAAGAAGAGAATGAAGAGTGTTAATTTTTTTGTTTTAAATGAAGTTGAATAACAATTTCATGGTTACCAAAATCTATAAACCTATTTTTACCATCTTTGATTTCCAGATTTATATCTTTAATCATAAAGGAAATTAAGTGGTAAATACGTCGTTAGAAATGGTTTCTCTATAATTCTATATCCTATCGGTACAGTGAATGTTGGAAGACTGTAAATAATCTGACGTTTGTATTTATTGAAAAATCCACCGTTTATTAAATTGCAATGTATATTTATCACATCGATATCATTCTCGATATTAGCTTTGTGTGGTGCTAAAGTGGATTGGGTGTATATTTTTTTATCAAAGCCTAGTAACGTATTCAATGAATTTTCTACGTTGAAATCAACTTGACAATTATTTCTTAATATCAATTTTATTTTGTTTAGATTCAAATTACCTTCGAATTCGATATTGTTTTTACCATTGACGCTTCCTGCGTATTCAGATAAGTATTCGTTAATGGCTATGTATTCGTAGCTTCCTGGTAGTAAACGTATGGTTTTGAATGTAACTCCATTATCTGTTGATATTTTTATTTGGTTATTTTTTTCGTTGATATTTCTAATGGAATTGTAAACAGAGAAATACTTTAATCCCAATTCATATTCTTGATTGCGATCGAGTTCGTACTAATAATCTAGAGACAATTTAATGTCTGATTTATTCGAGGTGATGACGAATAGTTGTTCTTTATTTGATATTTTTAATCACGCTTTTATAATCATTTTTATCTATAATACCTTTCTCTAGGAGTCTTTTTAATTTAATAAGTAGTTCCTCGTTGTTGTCGGATAAAGACGTTATACCTTCTCTAGATACCATATCTTCGAATTCGTCTATTTCTTGTGTGATAGGAGGATGCTCTTCAGCATAATCACCTAACTCCTCTTCATCACGTTCAATTACTCTTTTACATAGTTTAACTTCTTTTGATCTTCTTGTTTCGGGTCCTGACTTTCTTATTGCATCTAGAAATTTGGAGTATGCTACTAAATCCTTATAATCGGCAATACCAACATCCTCGCCATTCATTAAATCTATTAATCCTTTCGTTAATGTGTATATATAATCTTTTGTATCGATTTTGAATAAAGGGGAATTTGGACTAAATATTATTCTAAATCCATTAAACATTAAACCTTGATTATCAACGATTGGTGAAATGCTCTTTGGTAAATCTGGGTCAGGGTTTGAAAAAAGACCTTTTATATCATTTAATGTCCTAATTATAATACCATCATATTCAATCGCTTTGGGAGGTGTAGGTTCTATAGGAGGTTTATATTCTAATTTCCTTTTAATATCCTCTTGAGATTTTAATATGGGTTGAAATAGAGTTTGTAGATTTTCCGTTAATCCGAGTTGTTGTAATCTGTTATTTTCAACTTGGGTTTTTATTCTATTCTTAGCTTTGATATATTCTCTACTTCTTTTTAAAATATTATTCTAATCGCTACTCATTTTTAAAAAAATAAAATTAACATATATCGTTCATAACTCTTTCACCCTCAGGTTTTCTAGTATTTACAAATACATATCCATGATCATCTGGATATCTCCATTGAGCTTTACAAACCTTTTTAAATGCATCTCTGTCCATTCCGTGATTTATCGATTGAACGATTTGAGATAAATCTTTGTCGTTTAATTCAAATAATAAAAAACAATTTGCATTTTTTCTAATGAACATAGAATCCATCCCGTAAAAAGATTGGGATTGGTATATGCAGTGACAGTTGTGATGTCTTCCTTTCGTGAAGAATTCTTGTTGAACAGCTTGATTTCTTTGCGCCACGCAGTCGTCAAACACTAGTAAGTTCTTTCGCTCGCTATCAATTTGAGACAAATCTAGATCATTAACATTTTTCGTAAGAAAAACTTTTATATCCGTTGGTTTCTTTTCTTCGATGTAGTTATCTATGAAATCTTTCAATTCCACTTTTTCTTCGTTTTCTTTGTAATATTGATAGGTCTTGAACATCTCTCTTTGGTAGATATTCTAAAGCTTTGAGAAATTGATAATACGATTGCTCTGGTGTTGTTGTGTAGATATACAAAGAATCGAAATCTAAAAGGTTTGGTGTTGTCAACATGTTAAAAGTGAGATGAGTTTTCCCAGAACCGGAACTACTGCATATACACATGAGCATTGGGTTATTAGGAAATATTTGTGAATGATTAAATTTTTTACCCATTTTTTATTATTTTAATTTGTTCCAAAAATAACTCCTTCTCCTTTATACTTCGAAAGATATATTCCTTCTCCAGTGTGTATATTTTTGAAAAATATTCCATTACCCTTATGTTTGACTTTGACTTCTCCCGTGTCAATACTATCTACTAATTTATTTAATCCTTGTTTAACAGTTTTCTTGGTTTCTTCCCCAAATCTTTTTCCAAATTCTGTTATTGTGCCTATCATTTCTCCCACTCCTGAACCTTTGTCCAACTTTTCCATTCTTAAATTATGTCTATGTTCTTCGGCTGTTTTCTTTTCATGGGCAGCTTTTGTAGCAGCAGCTTCTGCAATAGCAGCTTTCTTTGCGTTGGCAGCTTTGACTGCAGCAGATATTCCACCAGTTGCTACACCCGCCGCAGTAATACCAGCAAATATTAAAGGAAAGAGAGGTAAAAATCCACCTTCTTTTGCATTTGCTTCAATTCTTTCTAAATCTATATCGTCTCTGACTTTACATTATATATATTTATCAATAAGTTTTTTAGTTATGCTGATTTTTTTACCATTATAAGTTATTGTAGTTGGTGAAGCTGTTTCTATAGCTTCTATTATTTTCTTGACTAAAGTTTCTGGTTTCATTTTTAAAGGTGTATTTTTCACTCAATTCTTATCATTCTTCTATCTGCTATTTTAATTAAATGTTTTGCTTCTTCCAATAATAAACAATAACCTGTTACATCTCCTTGTGTTTTTTCAATATGAATATTTATGTTTACTCCTGTTTTGAAAAGATCTTCTTGGTGAGCTGATAGATCAAAACAGAAGATTGGATGATTAAGTGCAAAATCTACATATTCAAACTGAGGTAGATTTCCGAATAATTCACACATATTTTTATAGTTTCTATACAATTCATTATAATCCTTTGTGGTTGGATTCATTGTTAAAGGTTGGTTAGGATAATTATCGTTGTTCAATCTTACTTGAACTTTATGGATTAAAGTATCTTGAGTTTGGTTCATTTCCACTCTAAAGACATTATTGTTATTTGTTTGAGAATCTGGTAAGTTCTTGAAACCAACTATTAAATATCTTGCTGGTTTAATAGTTTTCGGGTAAGGGAGGGTTTGATTCTCCCAAATGTACAGGCCTAGGGTGGAGCAGACACTTTATTTAGAAATTATGATTAAGGGTCTTGATTCTGGGTTTTCTTCTATTCTTATTCTGACCTGAAATTAGAAAAAATATCTAAACTATAACTAAAATAACATGACACAACATGAACCTTTGTCACTCTTTTTAATAACAATGCTATCGTCTTTCTTAAGTAAGTTTAACGCTTCACGTTCCACTCGTGTGAGATTAGGCTTTTCGTGTGTTATAGAAAGGTTCACTGTTTGGCTATTCATACTCGCAAATGCTTTCAATATTTCAGGATGGATGGCGGCCTGAGGGGGTGTCCACGTGGATTTAGGAATAAACATTGTTCTAGCACCTCGTGGGGGTGGTTTAGAAAAAAATATGTGCAGCTAAGATTTCGTTGAAATCGTTCAATGGATGGTCGGAATAATTCAAGTTAGCTATCTTTGGTGTGGGAATAAATTTAAGTCCACGGTCTAAGATTGAATGCGGAAGGGGTGTGAGAATTTTGCGGCTCAAGTTAACTACAGTTTGGCCTAGCGGTGGCCTCTATCTTTATCCCCAGTAATTAGTTTAAAGACTTACTCGATGCTTGAAGCTGGTGTATCCAAAACAAATAGATGCTGTTTGCTGTTTCTGGAGACCAATGAAGATTATCAACTGGTTCGAATTCTTCTTTGTAGGGTGGTAAGATTGTTGCGCTGTTGATACTGGACTCCATCATCATGTTGTTGAGAGTGCTGAGGTTCTGTTGTGCTTTCTTCGAGATTTTATTTGAAATGGGTATACATGTGAAGAGGATCTTGGAGTTTGGGAAGGTTTTGTTGGCTGTGGCGATTAATTTCTGGGCTTGGTTAAAGGAGGTCTTTGGTAGCTGATCACGGTTGTTGAGGCCTACATGAAGAATAATGGTAGTAGGTTTGGGGTCATGGTCGTATGGTTCCAGGATTGACTGTATGTGATGGATTTGGGCACCGGGGTAAGAATGTATTTCGGTGTCTGAACTGGTTTTGGTAATTCGATTCAGGTTAGATGATCCAATTATTAAGGTAGATTTCTTTAGAGCAGGTAGCTTCCATGATGATTTGTCCTTGGTTTGGTGATAATACGGTTTGGTAGCGGATATAATGGTCGTCGACGGTGTGATTGGTACTGGTTTGGTAGTTGAATTGTAGCATTGGGAACGGACTGGGATCTGGTTCGAGGGGGGGAAGGTCTCGATACACGTCTCGACTTGGATGGAGACTGAGGGGTGGTTTGCTGGTCCAAAAACGCACAGAAAGAAGAAGGTTGGCGGATCCTGGATCACGTGGTGAAGATTCAGATGGTGTGGAAGGGGAAGAAGTGAGTCTGAAAGTGAAAAGAGAAGGGGTGTGCCCTCTCTACGAGAGCGTTTACCTATGTCTGCTGGACTAGGAGTAGGTGAACTTCGGGCTCGTTTAGGGGTTTGGTTCGGCAGCGTGGTGGCTCTAGATGGTGCAGGTGTAGTGTCCATTTCAGTTGGTTACTCTGGTTTTTGTTTCGTTGATTGTTTGGTAGAATTTGGAGATTACAGCTTGAGTGAGATGTTTCCCATAGGAGCAACGGGCCCAGGACAGGGCATGAGAAACGATGCGGTCGACGGCAGGTGATGATAAAGACTTGGTACGAATGGTGGTCAGCTTATCTTAGAAAGAATTGAAGCAAATGCAAAAGAAGGTGGATTTTTACCTCTCTTTCCTTTAATATTTGCTGGTATTACTGCGGCGGGTGTAGCAACTGGTGGAATATCTGCTGCAGTCAAAGCTGCCAACGCAAAGAAAGCTGCTATTGCAGAAGCTGCTGCTACAAAAGCTGCCCATGAAAAGAAAGCAGCCGAAGAACATAGACATAATTTAAGAATGGAAAAGTTGGCCAAAGGTTCAGGAGTGGGAGAAATGATAGGCACAATAACAGAATTTGGAAAAAGATTTGGGGAAGAAACCAAGAAAACTGTTAAACAAGGATTAAATAAATTAGTAGATAGTATTGACACGGGAGAAGTCAAAGTCAAACATAAGGGTAATGGAATATTTTTCAAAAATATACACACTGGAGAAGGAATATATCTTTCGAAGTATAAAGGAGAAGGAGTTATTTTTGGAACAAATTAAAATAATAAAAAATGGGTAAAAAATTTAATCATTCACAAATATTTCCTAATAACCCAATGCTCATGTGTATATGCGGTAGTTCCGGTTCTGGGAAAACTCATCTCACTTTTAACATGTTGACAACACCAAACCTTTTAGATTTCGATTCTTTGTATATCTACACAACAACACCAGAGCAATCGTATTATCAATTTCTCATAGAATATCTACCAAAGAGAGATGTTCAAGACCTATTTCAATATTACAAAGAAAACGAAGAAAAAGTGGAATTGAAAGATTTCATAGATAACTACATCGAAGAAAAGAAACCAACGGATATAAAAGTTTTTCTTACGAAAAATGTTAATGATCTAGATTTGTCTCAAATTGATAGCGAGCGAAAGAACTTACTAGTGTTTGACGACTGCGTGGCGCAAAGAAATCAAGCTGTTCAACAAGAATTCTTCACGAAAGGAAGACATCACAACTGTCACTGCATATACCAATCCCAATCTTTTTACGGGATGGATTCTATGTTCATTAGAAAAAATGCAAATTGTTTTTTATTATTTGAATTAAACGACAAAGATTTATCTCAAATCGTTCAATCGATAAATCACGGAATGGACAGAGATGCATTTAAAAAGGTTTGTAAAGCTCAATGGAGATATCCAGATGATCATGGATATGTATTTGTAAATACTAGAAAACCTGCGGGTGAAAGAGTTATGAACGATATATGTTAATTTTATTTTTTTAAAAATGAGTAGCGATTGGAATAATATTTTAAAAAGAAGTAGAGAATATATCAAAGCTAAGAATAAAATAAAAACCCAAGTTGAAAATAACAGATTACAACAACTCGGATTAACGGAAAATCTACAAACTCTATTTCAACCCATATTAAAATCTCAAGAGGATATTAAAAGGAAATTAGAATATAAACCTCCTATAGAACCTACACCTCCCAAAGCGATTGAATATGATGGTATTATAATTAGGACATTAAATGATATAAAACGTCTTTTTTCAAACCCTGACCCAGATTTACCAAAGAGCATTTCACCAATCGTTGATAATCAAGGTTTATTGTTTAATGGATTTAGAATAATATTTAGTCCAAATTCCCCTTTATTCAAAATCGATACAAAAGATTATATATACACATTAACGAAAGGATTAATAGATTTAATGAATGGCGAGGATGTTGGTATTGCCGATTATAAGGATTTAGTAGCATACTCCAAATTTCTAAATGCAATAAGAAAGTCAGGACGCGAAACAAGAAGATCAAAAGAAGTTAAACTATATAAAAGAACATGATGAAGAGGAGTTAGGTGATTATGCTGAAGAGCATCCTCCTATCACACAAGAAATAGACGAATTCGAAGATATGGTATCTGGAGAAGGTATAACGTTTTTATCCGACAACAACGAGGAACTACTTAATAGATTACGAGTAATATTAGCGGCCATGAAGGAAGGACATCGATCGCACAGACAATACAATATAAATAAATTAAAAAGACTCCTAGAGAAAGGTATTCTAGATAAAAATGATTATAAAAGCGTGATTAAAAATATCAAATAAAGAACAACTATTCGTCATCACCTCGAATAAATCAGACATTAAATTGTCTCTAGATTATTAGTACGAACTCGATCGCAATCAAGAATATGAATTGGGATTAAAGTATTTCTCTGTTTACAATTCCATTAGAAATATCAACGGAAAAAATAACCAAATAAAAATATCAACAGATAATGGAGTTACATTCAAAACCATACAAAGCTACGAATACATAGCCATTAACGAATACTTATCTGAATACGCAGGAAGCGTCAATGGTAAAAACAATATCGAATTCGAAGGTAATTTGAATCTAAACAAAATAAAATTGATATTAAGAAATAATTGTCAAGTTGATTTCAACGTAGAAAATTCATTGAATACGTTACTAGGCTTTGATAAAAAAATATACACCCAATCCACTTTAGCACCACACAAAGCTAATATCGAGAATGATATCGATGTGATAAATATACATTGCAATTTAATAAACGGTGGATTTTTCAATAAATACAAACGTCAGATTATTTACAGTCTTCCAACATTCACTGTACCGATAGGATATAGAATTATAGAGAAACCATTTCTAACGACGTATTTACCACTTAATTTCCTTTATGATTAAAGATATAAATCTGGAAATCAAAGATGGTAAAAATAGGTTTATAGATTTTGGTAACGATGAAATTGTTATTCAACTTCATTTAAAACAAAAAAATTAACACTCTTTATTCTCTTCTTGAATAGTTAGATAATCGAAATCATCAAATTCATAGTTTTCATCTATGTTCAATTCTTTTCCGTCGTTTAAGGATACCAAATTCCTTCTTCATTCGGCGCTTTTCTCTTAACGAGATTCAAATAACTTCTGAAAACTTTCCTTTGTTTTTCATTAGGAATAACTAGTAAAACTTTTTACCCAAGGTTTCTAAATTCATTCGTTACGTCATGTCCACTAGCTAATCGAATATAATCTTCGACGTCTATCTTATCTTTAGAAGTGACCCTTAAACGTTTTCTTTTCTTTTAAAACACCATCGGAAGTTAGAATGATATTGTATTTTACTTTTGGCGCTAAATATAAACCAAATATGATTCCACCATCACCGTAATCATTCTTCCCTTTGCTATATTCGTTTTCAGACACCAACCCAGCTTCATTTAATTTATCCCAATTACTAGACGAAATGTATAAACTATCAGTATCTGTATAGTATATTTCCGGCTTATAAAATCCATCTATTACGTGAATGAAATTGTTCATTATTTTTTTACTGTGAGATAATATAAATGCACCTAAATGAGCGGGTGTTAATCTAGTAAAATTCTTTGGAGGAACAAACTCTTTTTCTTCTTCATTCATCTCAACTATATATTGACTATCATTTACTTTTTCATAGCTTTTGACGTGTGAATCTAAGTTGGCTTTAAAAGTCGCTTCACTCCATAGATGTCTCGATGTATTTATATCCTTCTGAATAGATTTACCGTATAAGGAATTTCCTAATAATTTCATGCAATTTCTAGCAACCATATCTCCTTCTTTTTTGTATTTATTCCTTAATTCCTTCAAAATTAAAATATAATCTCTGTATGGTGGAGTTTTAAAATTTTCTTCGTAAACTATACCATCTAATATTCTAATAATTTTACCACCGGATTTCTTGAAAATCAACTGATGTTAAGACGTCGAGACAGAAACCATTTCTGAACCTGATTTTAGTGCCAGTTTCCTTTTGACCTATTCTATTCGTAAAAGTTATTTTATCTTTAGCTGGTATGGGTTGAAAGAACATGTTTTTGGGATATTCAAACCAGACTTTTAAAATAGCAGTTCTAGGTCTGAATTATTGTTTATTGAAGAGTTTTACAAATTCTTTTTCTTCTTCTGGTAGAAACGCTCTTGCACTTTCCGCTTTAGGATATTCACCTTCTGTCATGGCGGAAGCGTACAACCCATTAGCGTCAAATGCCATCAGTTTAGAATAGTCCAGTTCTTTGAGTTTAGCGTAAGGTTCCCATTCGGGTCTTAAAGATTCCCAATTATCTTTAGTGTATTTTGCAATATTAACATCCTCGATCTTTCTCAAATTCATTGGTAGATTAGATGAATTTCCCCATGCCGCTAAACTAGATTTTTCATGTTGAAAGGAACATGTGAAATTAATATTTTGCAAATAATTAGATTTCGGGGAAGGGAGGGTTTGATTCTCTCAAATGTACAGGATTAAGGGTCTTGATATTGGGTTTTCTTCTGTTCTTATTCTGATCTGAAATTAGAAAAAAAAAATGGGATCTGACGGCTTAAAATCTAAGTCTCATTAAAATCACTTAAGTAATTATTATAATCATCTAATCTTTTCCTCAGTTTTTCTAAATTAACTAAAGTACAACAATAAGGAATGGCTTTATTCGTTTCTTTTTCGCAATAGGTTTCGCAATCTCATACGTATAAACAATAATCGGGAATGGTTGGAAAAACGTTTAGTTTTAGAAGTGAAACTTGCGTTACCGCATTATCATCTTCACAAGTTCTCCATACGTTTTCATCGTAATTATCTTCTATTTCTTTAATGCCCAAAGCTTTGTTATTTCTTTTAATGAGACAGAAATGTTCTTTGTGTAAATAAAAAAACCCAATCTAATTCTTCGGTTACTTTCTTTGGTTGAAAATGTCTATGTTTTGGCATATATATTTGAAAATTAGTATTAAATTTCTTATTGAATTCGCAGATTCTAGCAGTTGTCATAACTCCTTTTCTGTTTGATTTTTGAAAACTGTTGATGAAATCTTGAAATTCTCTCATGTAGTCTTCGTTTAAAACACGATTAACGCACTTTACAAAGCAGCATCCATCGCTCGGTATATAACAATTTATACCGATATATTCTTTTATCTTTTTGAGTAGGCTAACACCACTACCCTTTTTTGATCTTTTTATTTCTTTGGAATTATTTTTATGGAAAATCATTTTTCCTGTGAAATACCAATCGGAGGCATCCGATTTTTCATCCACTGCAGCGAAGAAATTGACAAAAGTTTTGGTATTAAAACCTACAAATTTCATGTCTTGTTTGTATTTTCCATCTTGAGTTATCTCTCCAACTATTTCAATTTGCCCTTTAAATGTTATAAATTCATCAGAGATAAGGTGAATAACATCGGAAAAAAGTTCATTTGATATGAATTATCAATTTTTTTTATGAATTTTTTATCGTCTACAATTTCAATTTTATTCATATTTTTGAAGCAACTATTTTTAACTAGGAATTTTTAACTTTCATTGATGATATTTCTACATCAAATTTATCTAAAATTTCATTGAATTCTTCTAATTATTCAATGGTTATGTTCTTATCCTCTCTCGATCTTTCGAAAAAAAATGAATAATTTATTAAGATATGTATTTAAAATTTTTTCCTTGTTTTCCTTTCTGTTTTGATGTAAAACCTAAAGTAATCAAACCACAAGATGAAGTTTGTACGGCAGTGAATGCGGCTAATACAGTTGGGACGATTATTGGAAGCATTAATCCACCGGTTACGGCTGTTGCCACTGTTATCCCTATTGTTAAAACTGTACTTAATGTT